ACCCTAAACCCTAAACCCCAAACCCTAAACCCTAAACCCTAAACCCCAAACCCTAAACCCTAAACCCTAGCCTTTGCAGCCTTATGTCTAAGCTCGGACATAGCATTGCCTGCTGCCAGCAGTGTTATTTTGCTGCTGCTTATTCTTCTGCTGCTGCTGTGTTTCTTCCTGCTGCTGCCGATGATGATTTCACTTTTTCTGCGGCTGCAAGTCATTCCTTCGTGTGTCTCTCCTGCTCCTGCTGCTGCTGCTGCTGCTGCTTCTGCTGCAGCTGATGGGGAGGCGGCGGTGGATGGCGCGAGCGTCGATCCCCCTTCCGCTGGCAGAGAAGGAAGAGCTGAAGCTCCCGCAGCAGCAGCAGCTGCAGCAGGAGCAGCAGCAGGAGCAGCAGCGCCAGCAGCAGCAACATTATCGTCACCGGCTTTGAGCGCGTCATCCGAGCAGCCTCAAAGGGGGTCTTCTTTGCCTCTACCGCAGCAGCAGCAGCAGCAGCAGCAGCAGCCGTATGAAGATGATGGGGGGTTGATGCTTTCTCGTTTCCCCTACGAGCTGTCTGCTGCTTATGATGCTTCNCGTATGAAGATGATGGGGGGTTGATGCTTTCTCGTTTCCCCTACGAGCTGTCTGCTGCTTATGATGCTTCCTCCCCCGATGAGCTCGCACTGACAGCAGCAGCAAAACACCTGGGGGCTGAGTTTGTGTCTCGGCCAAACTTGAATACAATACAAGTGGCAATACGATCGGAGTTTGCTGCTGAGGCGCTGCTGAGTGCAGCAGACAGAGCAGCTGTACGTACACTCAAAGATACGTATCAGCGGCAGCAACTCCAGCAACTGCAGCAGCAAGAACTGCAGCAGCAGCAGCAGAAACAAGAAATCGACAGGGAACACCACACGCAGCAGCAGCAGCAGCAGCAACAACACCAGCACCACGGGCAGCACCACAAGCAAAAGCAACAACAACAGCAGCAACAGCAGCAGCAGCAGCACAACCAAGAACACCAGCAACAACAGCGACAACAACAACAGCAGAAACAGCAGCAGCAGCAGCAGCAGCAGCAACAGCAAAAACAGCAGCAGGAAGAAGAAGTTGTTGCTGTTGTTAATATTGAATTACTAGAAGTCTTAGAGTTCGATAACTATAGAAAGCGGATGTCAGTGGTGGTGCGTGACCGCGACGGCCAGCTGCGGCTGCTGATGAAGGGAGCAGATACGAGTGTTTTTGCTGCTGCTGCAGCAGGACAGGAAGCAGCTATTGCTGCATGCAAACTGCAGCTAAGTGAAATGGCGCAACGAGGACTCAGAACACTCGTCCTCGGTCAGCGGTTTGTTACGCAGAGACAATTCAAAAAGTACCAGGAAAGCAAACACTACAAATATTATTATTTCAATATTCACACTTTTCTTTATGCTTAGCCTCCTCCTGCTGCTGCTGCTGATGCTGCTGCTGCTGGTGATGATGATGATGGTGATGATGGTGGTGATGAGGATGGTGATCGTCTTGCTGCTGCTGCTGCTGATGATGGTCGTCGTGCTGCTGCTGCTGATGATGCTGCTGCTGCTAATGATGATGATAATGGCGGAGCTGCTGCTGCATTTTGCTTGCGTCGGAGTCGCTGTTTGTTGCCGGGGTGTTTCTTCTGCTGGGAGCAGATCCTTACGGGTTTTTGGTTTAGGGTTTAGGGTTTAGGGTTTAGGGTTTGGGGTTTTGGTGCAGGCGGAGCTGCTTGCAGCGAAGGATCAAATAGGAGAAAACCGCGAGGCAGCAATTGCTGCGGTTTTCGCCCGTATGGAGAGGAATATTGAAGTGCTGGGGTGTACAGGCATCGATGACAAGTAGGGTTTAGGGTTTAGGGTTTAGGGTTTAGGGTTTGTTGCTGTTTTTTTGTTAGCTGCTAGCTGTTGTTGTTTGTTTTGTTGTTATTATTACATTGTTGTATTTGTTTTTGTTGTTCGTTGCTGCTGTTCATGTTGTGTTTGATGCTCCTCATGTATTCTCGCTGCCAATTCTTATTTGCTGTTTGTTTCTTTTTTCCCCTCTCACACCACATTTTTTGTTTGCATTGTTTAGGGTTTAGGGTTTAGGGTTTAGGGTTTAGGGTTTCTGATTGTTACATAGTGTCATTTACTGTGTGTGTTTCTGTTGCTCATCGTTCCTGCAAAAGAATAACGGTTTCTGTATTATGTTTTCAATTTCATGTTTTTTTTTTT